TGTGTGTGTGTGTGTGTGTGTGTGTGTGTGTGTGTGTGTGTGTGTGTTTGTGTGTGTGTGTGTGTGTGTGTTTGTCTTTTTGTTTATTGTGGACGTCGCTATCTTCGCCTCGTACAAATTGAGCATCTGAGATTCAGAGGTAGCAACCTAGCTACACGAATGCTGTGTTATAATTTCTTTTAGTGTTGGTATATCTCACATTACAGACCTCGAAATTGGATAAAATACTGATAAAGATAAAACGTCAACGTATTATGTCAATTAGCTTTTGTTGACGATTAGAATATACACGTACTATTTGGTTCACTTTGTGAATAAACGTGACTAACACAATTAATTTCGATAAAGGTAGCTTTCGAAAAACGTACCTTATTACTATTGTTATTACATGAAATTGTCATGAGCTGATAGTAGATTATTTCTTAATTATGTTGAATTTATAGTAATGACATGGAGATGACCATCAATATTAGTACAACATTCGGAATTTAGTTGAGAAGCAACTTGAAATACATGTAAATAAATATGTAAGCGCCAACTACAAGTCATTAATTATTTCACAAAATAGACGTTCTGACGTAAATAAAAAAATAATATGTTAGGACGAGGATTTTGTTTTTTTTTATAATACCAAGTGACGGGACACACAAGTCGTGCGCCTGGTGGTAAGCGACACGCCTATCCGTAGCAGTTGCAGTGCCACTAAGAGCTTTAAATCTAAGATGCACTGCCACTGCGCCCGTCACCCTGAGACATAGTTGACAAGTCCCAAGTGCCTGTAATTTTACTAGCACCCTTCAAAACCAAAACACGGTAATGCTCACATTGCTGCTTGGCGACAGGAATAGGTAGGATACTTTCCTGGATGAATTCTTCCACAAGGAGCTCTACTGCCACTGAAAATATATTACTATAACATACCTTACATACCCACTCACAACATCCTGTATACCGTTTTCTAATTTAGTGAAATTGTAATTATGGTTTTATACGCCCGCTTGCTTTATATTGTTTGAAAGCATTTTGGTAGGTTGGGTGGGCCTTTTTTTGCGGCAAAAGGCAATTTATTGGTCAGCTAGGGGACTACAATCTCATTAACAAGCAAACTGGGCGAGTGGTGAATATTTAATTACATGCGTACTAGCGCTCCTAGAAGCGACTCCCGGGAATAAAAAGGGTTACAAATGTTCAACCGTAGGTACTATGTTGTCACAGACGCGTGCACATGTTTATTGCGTTACTAAGAAATCATTGACGATCTCGGTGGCCCAACCGTTTTATACTGTGGGCCCTGGATGAGAAGGATTCTATTCCCGGTAGGACCAAACTGGGACATGAACTTTTCTAAATTCTGGTTTGGGTATTTACGGAATCCAATCCAATCATGTTCCAGGGTGAATTCCGTTGCTCTGGTACTCATAGTATAGGGGATTTCCTAGTTTGAGACCGAGGAATTGGCGTGGTTGTCTGACACATTATTATTATTATACCATACCAGTGGCACAGAGATTTCTACCTACCTTAAATTTGTTGCCTCCTTTAAATTTGTTGCCTCCTTTAATTTCAATTTTCCTTCTTTTTTTTATGTTCGCCTGCCGTCGCGACCTTTGTGTTGATGAGGATATCGTTGTTTGAAATAGTTGAATTTATTTTTTAATTTTAAGTTAACAAAAATAACTTTGACAAGTCAGGGCTCTAGCTGTGCCTCCCGGGGCCATGGCTCCCTCTGCACCCCACTATAAATCTGCTACGCCACTATAACTACTATTTGTGCCTCAGTCGGTTACGATTCTCTGATACAAAACTAGGATCAATGCTACGGAGGCAATCTGTAGTCTTTTTTAAACTATAATGAAAATGAAAAAAAATGCTTTGCGAATGTTAAACTGCACAAGACACAGAATCTTACCAGCGGGTTATAGGTATATAATTTCATAGTTACGCTTTTGGCCTTCTCTGTTTGGAACTGAGTGAGCCATAGAATTTTTATTATTATTTTT